CAGCCAAACCACGGAACAAATTAGTGACAAGTGGGTTCACTAAGAGGCAAAAATATATATATACAATAACTCAAAATGGTAATAGTAACAAGATAATATCGATAATATACCAACCGTGATATTATTAATAATGGTATTATTAGTAGTGCTACTATCAAGGGCACAAGGAAAATTAATAATAAAATTATTAGTGATAATATTAATACCGAAGATATTGATAGCACTAATATTTAATATAAAAAAAACTAATAGCGAGAATATTAATAACGTTAATGTTGATAGTGCTACTAATTAAAAGTAAAATTAATAGTGATAATAAAACAAATTGAAAATGATATCCTTATTCGGTACTTAGCTACGGGTCCGGGTTCCAGCCAGTTCAGTCCAATGTTCAGGGTGTAGCTACAATCTATCACCCAATTGATAAATATTCCACGATCACAGCCGGTAAATCGGGAACACCAAAATTGAAACTGCGCCGAATATGAAACGAAAACCATAAAATCCAAAATTGGAAGCAAAAGGGAAAATAAAAACCCTAGAAGAAATAAGAAAAGCCGATATAACAATCAAACATAGTTACCAGAGATTATCAATTAACTTACCTCAGTTCGAAGAGGGTTTACAAAATGGAGGATGCGTGGTCTCTTGAAGAAATTTGTTCGGTGGTAATTGAACCAGGAATAGCAGTATAATTAAATCCCTTGCGGCAAAAATAACGACTGCCAAATATAAGACTAGCTATCAGTCGAAATTCCAAAATAGTTGTGCAAATCAAATCCCGTTTACAACGGTATAACTAACAAATCCAAATCAAACTCGCACCAACACACAGCTATTCACTTTGAAAATCGTCTTCGAAAACACGTTCCTCTAATTTTACTAAATTACGATCGCTTCAAAAATATTGTCAATCAAATCTGACAATTCAAAATTTTGAAATATCAAACTTATATTAAGCATACTGCGTGTGAACAACACACTATCGTTAGCAAGGACACAGTTCGCCGTAAAAATGAAAAACGAAATGGAGCAATAGGAATGAAGTTAATATATCTAAATCTAATATATATACATATATCACACAAAACGAGACCTAATTATATCAACCTTTATAAAATAAAGTGATTAATATATGTGAATTCCAGACCATAACAATGTGTTGTGTGTGTGTGTTGTGTGTGTGTGTTGTGTGTGTGTGTGTGTGTGTGTGTGTTGTGTGTGTGTTGTGTGTGTGTGGGTGGGTGCGTGCGTGCGTGCGTGTGTGTGTGTGTGTGCGTGTGTGTGTGTGTGTGTGTGTTTGTGTGTGTAGGTCGCATAACTCATGAACCGATACACAGAAAAACACCAAATTTTAAACTTAAACTTTATTCCAGCGTCTAATGAACTGATTAGATTTTGGGCAGAGTCGAAACATCTGGGGGGGTACTTTATAGGTGGTAATTTTTATATTTTATGAAATATATCTGTTATTTACGTTTGTAGAAGAAAATTCTTCAAATAAAAGTTATTTGTAATATAATTATCTATAATTTTTATTCCATACATAATTTCTCTAAAATGGACCGTATTCGAGATATTTGAGAAAATGTGTAAATTTCGAATTTTGATGAAAACTCAAAAACGGATGAAGAAAAAAATATTAAATTTTAAACTTAAGGTCTGACGTGAAATGATTAGATTTTGGACAAAGTCGGAACATCTAGGGGGGTACTTTATGAGAGGCCGTTTTTATATTTTATGGAATATATCTATTATTTATGTTTGGAGAAGAAAATTGTTCAAATAAAAGTTACTTCTAATATTATTATCTATAATTTTTGTTTTATGTCAAAATTTCCTGAAATGGTCCGTATCCGAGAAATTTGACAAAATGTGCAAAATTCTGATTTTTATGAAAATTGTTGAACTAAAAGTTGTTTGCGATATCGATCTCTATAATTTTTGTTTATACATGATTTTTCTAAAATGGACCGTAATGGAAAAGTGCTAAATTAAAATTTTTCAGTATTTTCGTTTTCAATGAATATCTATAGAAAAATGTTTCGAGGAGATGTATGTGGACAATGTATATATTTAGTTTATCCTCTAAACATTTATAGAGTTGCTGCAATAGGTTGTACAAAATAACCGGAAAAAGCCTATAATAACTAGATAGGAAAGTCATGTGTTGGACACATCAGATTTTTTTTAATACTGTAATTTAATCGACTAATTTTGTATATTGTTTAAATTTTCATACTATGTATTTAATAAATTTTAGGTTTAAACAAAATGAATCTCAAAGATATGCTGATGATATGAAGTATCACAAAAAAGCAAAAAAGTTTTAAAATTCTTTAGAAAACTATTCAGAGCCAAAGACATAAAATAGTTAGTTAGTCTTCGAGCCCGAAATATAAAGATATAAAGGGCGGTCCAGACATAACGTCTTAACAGACAAGTCGTATCAAGTAAAACGGCGCATGTAGACCACAAAACGTACGTCTTGCATGATCAAAATAAGGTTGTACGATTAGTCAAAAATTTGAAGTGCGAGGCATCATTTTATGAAAATTGATTCGACAAGTTGAAGCGTGTGGACAAACTTTCGTTTTATTGGACATTGTTTTAGTACATTTTCGAAGTACGTATCGCACTGCTTGTTGCTTTCTGTATGCGTATTTATTTAAATATAGTTTGTATTTGAAACATTAAAAGCAATATATCTGATCTTTCTCAGTGCTCCCGACAATTTTAAAGAGAATTTATTGAACTCTATCGTAGTTTTCCTTGCTTGTGGCAAGTTAAAAGTGCCGAGTATAGTGATCGAAATAAGAAGTCATAGGCATATGAAATAATGATTGAAAAATACAAGGAAATTCATGAAGCTGCAAACAAGGAGACAGTTACCAAAAAAATGAACAACAAGAGGAAAGTGAAAAAGAGGTAAGTAATGTCTATTTATTAATAATAAAAGTAAATTCTATAGGTGTTCAAAGCATTTTATTGTTCAAAATTATTTAAATCTCTTTTTATAACATGTAATACGAACTACTTAAAAACTAAGTCATCTTGCCATGGGAGTGAGCCCTCTTTGTTAAAATAGCCACAGAACTTTTCTCTAACAATTTTTACATCATTAAAGGTACCATTTCGATAGGCGCGACAGACGACCGCCGACGCGACATACGACCGTCGACGCGACCGAGAAGTGTCGCTTCACATCTAAAATACATACAATTATATAAAACACATTTCGCACGGCGCGACACGAGAAGTGTCGTCAAGACGACACTTCCTGGAGACACTTCTCGGTGCAAAGATTTGCTCCGTACCGCACTCGAGGTCACTGTCCTCGGCATCGCTTTTTTTTGGGGGTGATTCGGTAGAAAATTTCTTTCGAACTAGGCAGCGTTGCCAGATTTTAAAACAGTATGGGTAAAAAAAACCGTAGATCTGAACAGTAGATTTTAATACTGGGGGAAATAATTAAAATTTGCAGTGTAGTAAATAAAAAAACAAGTATATAAAAAAAGAAAAATAAACTTTTTGTCGACTCAAATTGGAAGGTAAACAAAGAATAAAAACAAATAATAACATTTTTAATATATACTTAACGTACGGAAACAAAAAAAGAACAATGAAAAATAATAGGTACCTACTTCTTTTAGATCAGTCTGAATCAGATAATTCAAAATCGTAGTGTGCATGTTCTTTTTATGATGCCCTATTAATTCTTTGTTTCATTTTTAATAAAAACAATGATTATCTTGATGTTTTTTTTATAGAGCCAACCTAGAGTAGTGAATGCTTATTTCGCTGCTTTTACTGCAGAAAATTTACTAGAGAAAATATTCTTTAACCATTTGCTGAATAATGAGACAAACTTAATAAATTAAGAACAAAATTTGCTAGAGACAAAAACAGTAGATCTACGTGAAAACAGTAGGTCTGGCAACGCTGATCGTTCCCTCGAATGGTTATCCTGTAAGTATCGCGCGACACTTCTTAAGCTTGCGAAATGTACCAAGCGTAACATTTATGCATCTGTCGTCCTACTCGACCTTGGGGTCGCTTCAATGGTCGCTTGTCTCTTGACGCGCCTACCCAAATGGTACCTTAATAATTGGGCTTCTTCTTCCTCTTTGAAGGTCATGCATTAAATTAGGGTCACACTTGTTCCCTAAGACAAGAGAATAATCTCCAGTAATATTTTCGCTATCCATACTTTCTGGAGGTGTGTAATTTTGTGGAGATTTCTTGCAAAGAAAATTATGTAATGCACAACATGTTAAAACAACCTTGTCAATGTTTTCTATCTTTAAATTTATAGCAGTGTGGAGAACTTGAAATCGGGACGCTAAAATGCCGAAAGTATTTTCAATAGTCCGTCGGGCTCTAGATAACCGGTAGTTAAAAATTCTTCGTTCTCTATTGCAAATGCCTCATCACCAAAAAAACGTATATCCAAGAATTTCGTTAGAATTGGGCATAGATTCTGGATTAGGAAGTTTTAGATCATTATTGACTAGTTTTTCATAAAATATGGTATTAACAATTACTTCACCATCAGAGATTCTACCATTTGTGCTAACATCGCAGTAGATAAATTCTCAGTTCGCATTAGCTATTGCCATAAGAACTATGCTGTGCGTCTTTTTGTAGTTAAAGTAATATGATCCGCTTCCCTTAGGAGGAACAATTGTGATATGTTTGCCATCAATACTGTCCAAACAATGCGGAAATTGCCATTTTCTTTCAAAGCCGGCTGCTATTTTGAACCACTCCTGTTCGCTTTTTGGAAACTAAAACAAAAGAAATTACATTATTATTCCCTTTATAGTAACTAGTAAATACATGTTCTTATCGTTTACTTAATTTTAACGATAAAATTTCATAAAATGGAACTCTAAATGAGTTAATGGGATTTTGTTCTGCATCAAACATGCTTAATTTTTTTATACATTTACGGTTGTATTTTTATTTTCTTATAAAATTGTAATATTTTATTGTTTCAGGTTGACTTGGAAGATCATAGTTTTTCTGCTACACCATCTACCGGTCGGCCATCTACTCCGACTAGTGATACCGCTACCAGTGCCCCGCTACCTACCCGCACTTTACTAAATCGCAAAAAGAAGACGGCCTCAAATAACAATGAAGCAGCTGAAGTTATGTCTAAAATTAGTAAAAAATTGGAATTATTGCAGGAAGATTCACCTGACCGATTTGGAAAACATGTCGCTTATAGACTTCGAACAGTCCATCCTGATCAACTCAAGTTTGCAATGAAACTTATCTCTGATGTTTTATTTGAGGCGGACACGTTATCCTTAAATAGATATTCCAAAATTATGACTGAAGACCAGATCCCTCCTCCTCAACAGTCTCAACGAGAAACCATACAGCAACACTTTAACCAATATGCACCACATTGTATCACCAATACCGAACCAAATGGACAAATTCCAAGTCAAGGCTGGCAGAGGAAATCGGCCAAAAACTGCATGCCCAAGAGCTACAAATGCTTCATGACCTTAGATTAAAGAGACCGAAGATGTAACATTGCACACTGCGCATGTTGTCTATTTTAAGCCAAAGTAACCCACCAATTGAAAATCATTGTTGCACGACGCCACCCGAATTGCTCCGATTTCCATTCAGCGATCACCTCCACCTGAGTTTAATCACCATTGACAGCTGTTTTTTGATTTATTTGTTGGTATTTTAGCAATTTAAAGTGTTCTAGTTATTCAATTTCAAGTTCAAAATGTCACGATGTATCTTGAAAAATTGTATGTCCTTATAATACAAGTACTACTGTTATGAATATATTCGTTTTCAGCGGTAAATATTTATTAACGTTTTGACATAAAGCGCCATGTTCCTCTGGGATGAATACTTCAGATCCGCATTAAGGGGTTTCAATAAATATTAAGCATCCGAAATCAGATTTCATATTACTTACATACATTTACAAAAGGGTAAAATTTTGAACATTTAATTTAAATAAATAGTAAGTAGGCATTATTGCTAACGAAATTTTGTATTTAAAAAGTAGTTTTATAAGAATGTTTTCTAAAGGTAGTTTTTAGCCCTTTTTGGTAGATAAATAAGAGGTAAAGAATCATAGTTGCTAGCTAAATTTTATTTTTATAAGAATATTAGATGAAATACAGGATGACCTACTTAAAATTTCAAGGTTTATCTTATTTGCGGTCAAATCGAAAGTGACATTGAATTTTCAGTCTTAAAACAAAGTAATCTAGTATAAGCAAAAAAAAATACTAAAGTTACAGGAGATTAAAATGACAGTGTTAATGTAAAAATGTAATTTTAAACTTCGTTTAACACAACGGTGGAATCGACCCTTAGTCGCGTTAATAAAATGTTACATTACAAACCCCTAAACAACTCGAACATAATTTTCGTTTACTAAAAAAAATCCAAAATTTAGCAATATTTATTTATTATACAATCGAATGCGATTTCAAAAATAACTGGATCAAAAAATCCGAATCTCTAAATTTTGGAGCTAAATGCTCAGATAAAAGCAAGCGACCGATAGGGGTTACAAAAATAATCGATTTATCGATAATTCTAATATTTTTTAATGAAAATCGATTTATCCACTGTTTTTAATAAATTATTTTCGTTTTTTTTTAAGATAATGTATTAATCGATTTTAAAGGAAATACAAAAAAAGTAGATTTATTCAAAATAATCGATTTATCGTTTAATCGGTTTTTTAATTATTTGATTATTTTCGATTTTTCAATGATATTATATGAAAATAATCGATTGAATATAATCGGTTATTTTACATAATCGATATTTTTGTTATTTTTTTAAAATTATCGATTTATTGGATAATCAGCTTTTTAATAATCAATTATTTTCGATAATCGAATAATCAATTTCAAAGGAAATATGAAAAAAGGATTATTAGAAAATAATAGATAATTCGTTTTATTTTTTGGAAAATCGATTTATCATAGAATCGGCTTCTTAATTAATTGGTTATTTTCGATTAGGCGATTATTTTGGAATTATTGATTATTTTTGGTATTTCAAAGATAATCGAATTATCGATTTTAAAGGAAATACAATAAAAATAGATTATTGATAATAATCCATTGATCATTTTGTTTTTTTTTGAAAATCGATTTGTCAGTTAATCGACTTTTTAATTAATCGATTATTTTTGAAATACAATAAAATAGATTATTGGTATTAATCGATTTATCATAGAATCGGCTCTTAATTAATTGATTATTTTCGATTAGGCGATTATTTTGGAATTATCGATTATTTTCGGTATTTCAAAGATAATCGAATTAACGATTTTAAAGGAAATACAATAAAAATAGATTATTGATAATAATTGATTGATCGAAAATAATCGATTATTTAAAATAATCGACCTTTTTTTTTTGAAAATCGATTTGTCACTTAATCGACTTTTTAATTAATCGATTATTTTTGGTTATTTTCGATTAGGCGATTATTTTGGAATTATTGATTATTTTTTGTATTTCAAAGATAATCGAATTATCGATTTTAAAGGAAATACAATAAAAATAGATTATTGATAATAATCGATTGATCGAAAATAATCGATGATTTAAAATAATCAATTATTCTGTTTTTTTTTTTGAAAATCGATTTGTCAGTTAATCGACTTTTTAATTAATCGATTATTTTTGAAATACAATAAAATAGATTATTGGTAATAATCGATTTATCATAGAATCGGCTTCTTAATTAATTGGTTATTTTCGATTAGGCGATTATTTTGGAATTATTGATTATTTTTGGTATTTCAAAGATAATCGAATTATCGATTTTAAAGGAAATACAATAAAAATAGATTATTGATAATAATCGATTGATCGAAAATAATCAATTATTTAAAATAATCGATCATTCTGTTTTTTTTTAAATCGATTTATCAGTTAATCGACTTTTTAATTAATCGATTATTTTTTATTAATCGATTATTTTCGATTTTTCAAAGATTATCGAATAATTTGTTTCCATGGACGAAAAAAATGGTTTATTTGAAAATAATCGATTATTTAAAATAAACGATAATTCTATTTATATTATATTTTGTAAACACTGATTTATCGGTTAATTGGCTTTTTAATTATTCGATTATTTTTGATTTTTCAAAGATAATCAAGTAGTCGATTTTAAAGGAAATGACAAAAATATATTGTTTGAAAATAATCGATTGATCGAAAATAATCGATTATTTTCAATGATCGATAATTTATTTCGATAATCACTCATCCCTAGCGACCAAATGACTTTTAATAGATTTAAATTTTAAAATGTTATCTGGTTTCAGACATATGCATTTCTAGAGTTTTATGTGACTCATCCTTCATAATAATTAATATTCTTAAAGAAAGAAGCCTTAATATACTTTTTTCTGAGAACAATACTCGTAGACAATGAGTAACATTTTTTGCTCTATTAACAATATATTCTATTTCAACATTTTACTGTAGTCTCTTGCAGAAAAGTCCGTAGTAAATAAACGCTAACGAAATATTCTATAAAAGGTCTTCCCTTTACATAAAATGTCGTGGCATCTGTTTGATATTAAAAAATCACGTTAATTTTATTTCATAATACAAAATTCGATTAAACACCTTTTAAATAAACCTAATAGTTCATTAAGATGCTAATAAACAAAGTCCGGTCCATGTCACAGAGTTCGGGTCGCCGCGTGTCGCCGCCCAGTTCCCCCACTCCGTTAACCCTTCTTTAGAAATTGGCAACATTTGCGCAGGTTTAAAACCGGTGTATGTTATATCTCTGGTCTCTTTTATCTAAGTTCATGACACAACCACATCGGCGGAACCTTCTAACACAAATTTTATTTTTTCTGATATTGAACAAAATCCTTCACTTTATTCCATAACCAGCAGCAAACACCACAAAGCAGCATCTTTTTGCAAACAACTTGAGATTGGCCAGCAGAAAGTCACTTCAAAGCAGGTATCAGACGACCGAACCCTACTTTTAGAAAAGGACACAGATTCTAATCCCAAAAATATTGCTCAGTATGTTTCAAATTTTAAACACAATGAGGGTGTTAAAATACATAAAAAACGATATTAATTAAATTAATTTTAGGTAGTGTTCATGTATTGATTATAGAAGACATTTTTTATTTTTTACTTTTCTTCTCCAATAATGATTAATTTTTAATAAAAATATTTTCTAAAACTCACCTTTAGGTTATCTTTTTTTAAAACCCTATAGACAGCGTCACAAGCTTTCGGTATTATTTCACTCAGTGATTGCTTGGACATGATGGTGGTGAATTCCAAATCTTTGTAGCTTCTGCCTGTTGCAAGAAATCTTAACGTGGCACTAAGTCTCTCATGAGCTGAAATGGCTTCTCTCATGCAGGTGTTTTGCCTTCTAATATAAGGAGTAACAGATTTTAACAAATGGTTGTAAGTTTCAGTGCCCATCTTTTTATTGCAATGCAAATAGCATAGAGTGACCAAAGAAGCGCTTCTTCCATGACCGAAATCGTCGCGAAACTAAAATTTGACCGATTAGATGGAAAATGTGGACGCGCTATCTTTTGTACTTTTTGTCGAACGATTTGCATGAACATTTTATCGTTTGGTGAGACGTTGTGTGTGGACCGCACTTAATAAGTAATAATTTGTTAATTTAAATTAAAAATTTAAAAAATCCGACTTCAAAAACGTGCAGATGCCATCACCACATCTTAACCAAATTTATACGGGTCCACCCCTGAGGTACCCCCTTACTAACAAAAAAAGAATCATATAAATCGGACAAGGTGGTAAAGCATTATCGCAAAACATACATAAAAAATGAAGAGTTTGAGAATTTTCTCATGGACCCAATTATTAGATTTTGACCAAATTTATATGGGGCTACTCCTGAAGTATCCCCTTTCTAACAAAAAAAAAATCATTGAAATCGGACACCGTGTTAAAGAATTATCGCTGAACATACATACATTAAAAAAAAAAAAATAATTGCGACGAATTGAGAACCTCCTCCTTTTTTGAAGTCGGTTAATAAATAGAACGTAATTTGCTTCTAAATCACTAATGTAGTAATAAAGTAAACAAGAATATCACATTATTTTTTATTTACTAAAAAAACGTCTCAAAAAACATTAAATGTTTATTATTGGAGTTTCTATCGCTATAATAATACAAGAACAACTTAAATAATGTGGATTTTGACTATTTTGAGTTATCCTGATCATTATGATATAAAAAACGTCTTTCTGGTGCTATAGTCAAGTATAAAAAGATTCAGTTATTTGAGCACAGTTGCAATATACATTTTAATTAGTTTTTAAGTTAATACCTAGTAGGACATCCTAAAATGTAACGCTTTTTAATTTAAAGCCGCAGAGGAACCGGATTTATACAAAAATAGACAAATCTTCGGGTAAAGAACCCTTG